GGTCCCTACCACAATGCAGGCCGTCCCCACTAAGCCTGACGCAACCAACAGCTGCAACTTTGTAGCTGCAGATACGACTTACGTCTCCCTGTGCGTTCTCTTTTGGGCTCAGCTGGCAATAAGATGTTAAAGACAGATAAGATGTTAAAGTTAAGGATGCGTTCAATTAGCTTAAATGGGACATCCCTGACCTGGGGACAGCCGTATACGTGATGTGTTAAACGAAGTAAACTTTCGGGACGAGGGTTTATCACGGTCAACTCTTGCAAGTTAATCAAACACGATCTTAGAAAGTTTTGGACTGTTGACACGTGGCTCAAGGCTTATTAAGAATTTTAAAACCGTTATTCCCACTTGGGATTATTTGATTTCACCAATCACTTCAATCAAATCATACGCAGAATTAATAGATATTTGTTTAGAACATACAGGCTTCTGGTAAAAACAACAAGACATAGACACACTGAACTGCAGTGCATGCATCCCGTCGTCATGCAGGAATCGTTTCCTTTAAACGAATTCGTTAACAGCAGTCTGTTACGTTACGTCTCGTTCACAGTATGCAACTTAGAGCTATGCATACTAAAGTGTCACAACGAGAGAGTTGCTTGCACTTGTTATGATCTGTTAGTATAGTGTTATTAGATGGCTAATTGAATATCATAAGCTTTGCTGCATCATTTATCCAGACGTTTAAGCAGTTGTAATGGCATTAGTTTTCATTTGTATTTTAGTTTTAGTTTTTTTTTTAGTTTTTTTAATTTTAGTTGAACACGACACACTGAATATTAAACATCCTAGAATAGCAAAAATCCGCTGCAAATGCAGTTTGTATCTGTGTTTTGTATAGGAATCGATAACTGGGTTGGTTTAAAATAGACATTATACCTGTCAGCAAAAACTAATATGACTAGATGTCAAGGTCTCTCAACGAAATGTTTTTAAAACTGACCCAAACCCAGCTAACGTTGAAATCAACACAGCAGATATTGCAATTTTAGACTGTCATGTACTAACTGACCCTATAGTACATTATTGCATTGCAGTTACGATTGATAACTTTGGCAAAGGGCAGAAATTCATATTACACTTAAGGACCATCTAAAAAATCGCCCGGGCAGGTTAATTGTGGACAAGTTACGGGTGGCAGCACTGACATCACCCACAAGAGGTCCTGCATTTGTCCAGGATGAGTTCTGGAAGATTTTTCATGAGCAACTTTTTAACCATGAATGGGTCTTTATGTTTGGCCCCACAACAGATGGCCCCAGAGAAGTAGTGCTATTTGTTTACTTCTCGTAGAGTAGGCACAAAGTGTGACATTGAGTGGCCACTTTGGCCCGACATACAAACCAAAAGTTGGGGCTTATGTAAACAAACTACATGCTTCATTGCGGGGAGATAGCCGACAGGATTGTTAATAATCCCGCAATTTTATCCACAACGATGTCTGCAACTTGCCCGAAACTTAACCCAGACGATTTTTTGAGATGACTCTTTAGAGAACATTTTTATTATTTCATTTAGGGTACGTACATTTTTACATTATAGAGTGTGAAAACAAAGGTTCATTTTTTGGTAAACTGGCAATGACAGAGTCAGATGATGGCACGTTCTTTAGTTAATTCCGACAATAATTTTGTGAATATACGCCAAGATAAAAACGATCCTTTTATCCACAAATGCGACCCCAGCCTTTTTGAGTATGATAAAAAAACATTTCGGGTATAGACAAGTCAGGTTTTAAGTGTCTATTGATTTGTTAATCCTTTTCTTTCACCTTACCTGTACTTATAATACGTTAACCAGAAAAGGTTTTGTAAAAAATAATCCTTATTATTAATCCGTTTGTTTCAGACGTTCAGTCAATATGCAAAAGTGCCTCTAATTACTTTTGTGGGCCGTATTGAACATTTGATGGACAATAGATTGTAATTCCCTATTAATGACGGATTTTGCTTTTTCTTTCTGAACATTTTAACTTTCATCAACGTTCCAAATCTATATATCAATCAAAATTATAAATGCGTAATTCTAGCAGTGTTCAGCAATCCCAAATACCTCTATGTCAAGTACCTGAAAACACTAACCTGAAATTCACCAAACTTTGCCAAAAATCAGATATCCAGTAATAAATTTATGCAGATGACCTCTTACGAAAATTACCTTATTATCTGTCACTCTGATATGAAATAGAATTAGTTGCGGGCTTTAAGGGAGAAATATTGCTAAATATTGTAGCGAAGTATGTAAGGTGTTTATTCGTATCATAAAGGGTTCTTTATTAGGTGAAGTAGTTATACTATATTTCTAATTGATGGGGGAAAGGTATGAAGTACCAACACTCAAGCAGTTTTGTTTCAAAACGTTAATTACCACTCGGATTACCCAGACCCAGTGCTCTGCACAGCGCTAATAGGTCCACGCATGCAATAATAATTTATGAATCAGACTGCTTCTGTCTCGTATAATATTAGACAAGGCAGCAAATTCAACTAGTTGATTGGAAATTATTTTCTGTTTGCTGTTTTATACATGTTTTGTTTTGGTATACGTGTATCTATAGCTATACATGTTGGCACATGCACTTGTCAACATATGCACATTTACATGCATGTAGTTTGTATCATGCACAGAGGAATTGTGCTTGATGATTCTCAGATACTTTTAGTTGGTAATCAGCCACTGGCATTAGCTCTCAGTATGAGTGTATGAATCTGTGTATGTTACCAGTACGTGTACCTTGAAGAAATTGCATCCCATTTTTGGCCTTAAGCATTTCTGGACAATTGCACCGGTAGTAACTGGCGAAAAATATAAAGTTCTCTAACCATGCAATATATGGAATGGTTGATTGATATTTTCTTGAGGCATATTTGAGCCCTAATCATTGACAAAGAAATAAAAATGTCAAAGTTAGACTTTTTAAGAATAACAGGGGATGGCTTCTTTATGTCGTCAGTGGCGTCGAAATATACGTGTGTTGCCAGCCATAGCAAAGTAAAATTGTGGCTCAACATCGCCAATGCATGTAATGACAATTGCCTCTTTTAAGCACACGTTCTCGCAACCAACGTCTTTTGTTGTTATCGGTCTGCATATGATTATTGTGGTCCACACCCTTCATTTCCTTTCAAGGACATTAATATTGAGTTTAAACTGTTCCGTGGGTATCCCCCCCAAAAAAGTCAAACCCACAGAAAGGACAGAGTATCTTTTTCCCAGTGTGTTTGGATTTGATCCCCCCCAACAGCCAAGCCACGTCGCCAAGCAACAATCAATCAACACAACCCGTTCACCACAATGAAACTATCCAACCCACAGACGTATAAAAATCCTAGACTTCAACGCCAGCTTTGTATGAAAAATAAGCGAACCAGCAGCCATTTTACCGAGCCGAATACAAATGCACAGGTTGGCTCTCTTCTATTGACGCCAGTGATAACTAATAGAGGCGGGCATTGCTTGGCAAGCTTTGTACTCGGCTCAGTAAAATACCACTAGTGGATTCAAAGATCTCTATAAGCTGACTAAGGGCGATGGATGCGAGTCCAGATTTTTTTATATACATCCGTGATCCACACACGACTGGCAGCTGGCAGTGATGAATGAAAGGCCTTCGCTAGCCCTGGTGCTGGTCTGTGTGACTATTCCTATGGAATTCCCAAGAGGCCACGTGGCCGAGACTTTAACACACAGTCCCATGGGACTTGGCCAGAGGCCATTACGAATATATATTTTGTTCTGGCTAAAAGTAATCCGACGTTAAAGGTGCCTAAACCAGGTTTTCACCTGAAAAGAGGTAGGATTAGACGGGAGGTGATTGCAGTTGGTCGTAATATTTTTCAATCAAGTAATTTACCTAAATGGGTACACAGAAGACGTCAACGCCTCTTCGCAAGGGAATGTGCATTGTTTCTGGTATGTACTAACATAGGGCCGCTTTGCCCCAGTGGTAGAGTTGTGTACATTCTGTTGAAAGTTTGGTCACCCATCAATAGCATAAATGCATACTAGCTGCTAATAAATACATTGTTCTTTAACTCCCTACCACTCTTTTTACCGTTGATGAAACACCATAGTAAGATGTCCAGAAAGGAAATCAAAGACTTAAATGTAAATTGAAAAATATCGAAAGTGTGAGGGAAACATTAAAAGTAGAGCTGTCTTTGCTGTCCACTCACAGCCACAGCATAGTAGACTCTTTAAAAAGCCGAAAGCAAATAAGTGACGCACATCGAAATTTTTCTATCTTGTCTGCGGCATCATTCGTGAACAAGATGGTTCTTGGGCCAGGGCTTGCACATTTTCAAAGAGCATTCGCGGTTAACGTCAAGTTTGACGTGCTATAGAAAACCGAGCTTTCAAGCGATTAACTTCCTGGTACGTGCATTGATAGTATTGAAGCACGCCGTGCCTGGGAATGTACGCGCAGTCCACGCACTTTGTTAAATGACAATACATGACATGCATGACAAATAGCTTTACCACCTGAAACGTCTCCCGTTAAGTTCTGTATCAACAGTTATGTCTATTAAAAACAAGCAACATTTTATCATTGAGGTATTTTGTGGAATGTACCTGTATAAACATTTGCATGTTTTCAGGGTTGAACTAGTTTTTTGCTTCTTCCAGATTGCTAAATCAAATAAATGGTCTGATATGATCGGTAGTCATTTCGATTATGGTTGGGCTCATGTGTTTACATTATTGTCAGTCTTTGGATTTTCAATTGACTTTTACTTGTTGACCGTGACATGGTAAATAAGGCGAGTCAAGTTTGTTGATAATGCCGACGGTACTCGACTATTTATTGCCCAGTGTTCTGCACCATTGCCTTTTTTTTGCTTACCAAAGGCTGGTTGAAGAACAGAAGCAAAGCAGGATTTTACTAAGTTTTAGAAAATAATCTCCTAGCTTTTACAACACCAAAAAATCGACAGTGGTGTCAAATAATACATATACTATGACTCTTCAAATGTAATGGGGCAAATTTGAGGTTTTTTCACGGTAAAATCTGACATCTGAAACAGGTGCAAATGAGGAATGATCCTTTTTAACTACAGTAAGTTAATGTTAGGTTCTATTTCAATTTCCGACCATTAAGTATAGTAGCGCGTGATAAAATGCCCCGAAATGCTAGAAAATAAGTTTGTACTCCTAAACAGTTTGCTATAACCTTAGAAATTTGCTTCTATCCTCCCAAAAACTGCCTGTCAACTTTGGCTTTGTTTAAAAAGGCACTTGCAAAGATTTTGAATCTGGCCTCACTTAAATTCATCTTGTGATTCTACATTTACATTCTGCCAATGAGAGGAGGATAATCTTTAGACGGAAAAGGTGCATAGAAAAGTCCCATTTTTTGTGTGTGGACGTGCCATACAAACAACCATAACAAAGGTGAAAATGAAACTTGTTGCAGACAAGATTGTAAGAAATCGATAGAAATCCATGAAGATGGCGCAATTATGACCAATATCAAACGAAATATGCAGTCTTCAGTGGACCAGACTAACCATCCTATTACATAAGGCTTTAAAATAAAATTAAAGCAAATAATTTTTTCATTGCATAACACAAAGTGGAGTATTAAATTGGATTTTAAAAATTAACCAGCAGAAAAGAGCTTCAAAAATCTCTAAAGAGATATCAGAAAGCATTTTCCTCACGTGGATTCGAACAGGAGTCACCCGCAATGATAATGCTTACCCTTACCCACGTAGCAATAGCTTGCTTTTCAAGAGCTATATATGCAATCACACGTATGAAGCCAAACCACGGTTCACAATCATGCACGATTCATGACATCCAGGTGCTCAACCAACCATTTAAACTTCACGTGTGAAATTAGGCTCCTATAACATTCGGGCTTTATTTTCCTTAAAATAAATCTCCCTACCCACAATTTCAACCCGCGATTCGAACCCACACCCCAAGCATCACAAGCCATTATGCTGTAACCGCTTGACTACCGCAATTCACACAGGTTGACGGTGTTTTTACTGTTGATATACCGATAAACCGATATAACGATAAACGGCTGCAACGCAAGTCTAGTACAAACTGGGCATGCGCAATACAAACACAACCCCCATGGTTTGGCCTCATACGTATGGTTACATATAGGCCTATATCTCCGAGCTTTTCTAGACTTGTTTATCATAGGACACGGTGGACACTTAGTTGATCGGGTGCCAAAAAACCGAAGCATTTTTTTGTTCCCAGTGAGCTGAGACAGTGCCAAGTATTATGCTCCAAGAGCGTGGTTATTTTTGGTAA